GCAACACAAACAGTTTTCCAGAGGAAATGCTTGCATGTAATTTATATTTTAAAAAAACTATGCAATGGAGGTCATACACCTTGATGAACACCTCACTTAGTATGTGACATCATAGAAAAATGAGACCCTCAACAAAACACAAATACCATGCTGCAGATAACATGTAAACAAATATCTGCAGACATTTTCTGTTACAAGCCCTCATAGTAATTGTGTCTGCAGATAAAAAACAAAAACAAGTAGTAAAAATCACAATTCTGCAGACAGAGGAGGCCAATTACCCAAGAAGACTTTGAGGATGCCTTGGTGGTGGAGCTGGACACATTTCCCAGCATCTTCTTGTACATGGCAGTTTCTACATTCTTCTGTTCAGAGTGCTTCTTCACTAGCTTGGAGAGCTCAGCATGGATTGTCTAAGACAGAGAAAGCCTTCAATTACTAAACCCAAATATGTCCATTTTATGTTTTGGAATCTTTGAGGTCATCTTACTTCAGTTGCTAAAAGACAATGTTCTTCATGTCAAATGATATGCTTCAAAGATTTTAGCAATCTTCACTGCAGATTCTTACCTGATTCTCCTATCTTGTGGATACTAGGACAAGTCATTTCACTAACTTCCTAAAAGTGCATTAAAGTAGAACTATGGAATAAGTGTGGCAGCACTTAACTATATGTACTATATATTTGGACTTACAATTTTCTCCTGGTCTCCCTGTAAAGTCCCACAAATACCTGTTGAGCCTGCCAGCGAAGTCCATCGCATTAATTTCCTAGAATACCGTGGCAACAATGCTGCACTGCTACTCAATTCAGAGCAGAGATGATACTCTCATGTGGTATGAAAAAATGTTGCAGGGGGCATAGCTATCAGCATTGTTATTGCCGATTCCCAAGCCTTTAGCTTGTCAATCACTATCTGGCAACACCCAGCTCTGCCCCCTGCTTTCTGCCACTGTTACTGAAATCCTCCACTGAGTGTTGCTGTAATATACTTACCTAGTCTCCTCTGACATCAGTGTGAAGCCCCGCCCTAACCAATCATGTCCCACTAATTAATCCGCTCTCCTCCCTTTCTAAGCCGGAAAATTCAACCTGGCGGCTGTGTAATGTGTAGATGCCGGCCCCCCTTAAACTGCACCTCCTCTTATCTCCAGCAGACTCAATCCTCTTGGATTCATTGTGCCTCTTCTCTCAGCATATTTCCACTGTTCTACTACAGGAACTTAGCCCTATTTCATCTGCTGCTGCTGCGTGCACTCCTCATCATTCATCACTGCTGCTGACATCTGTCTGCACTCAGCATTTTCCATGTTGGTTGCTGACTCCAGTATGCACTCTTCAATACTGCTTCTGTTCCCTGAGGGCAATTCCCTTGGATACAGCTTGACCCACAAAGCCTGCAGATGCTAACATTCCTTCAAGAAACCACCATGTTCCACTGAGGATTCTCCTAACCGCAAGTACCGGCAAACTTATTATACAACTGTATGATGTAATACAGGTCATAGACTTTCTGAGATCCTATATCTACTCCCTCTCTGTGATACTAAACAACGAGATTAATATACTTATTTGTATGCAGTAATACAGGTCATAGATCTTCCTAATCTGCTCCATTACAATGACTCTTGTGCGATTACCTACTTGTATGGCATAATACAGGACTGCTTGATTACCCCAATTGAGTTATTCCCTTAGAGACTGTCACATTATGGTGTACGTTTAATAAACTGTGATAAAACTAGCTTTATCAAGAGTTAACTTTACTCAGCAGATCTCTTTGTTTTTCTCGGCTGCACAGAGGCTGTTTAATAACCTGCGAAAAGAAAACTTCTCACGTAACAGCTGTGAAAGGCTGAGATAAGTTAGCTCAGTGATCAGTTGTGAAAGCACAATGATATCCTTTGTGATAATCTGCAATCCTCCTGACAGGATCGTAGTTTAATCTGCCAAACCACCCATTAACAATATTACAAAGCACCGCTATAGCAAAGTGCAACAGTTATTTCACCGTTAAAATTAAGAAAATTGCTAAAAAACAGGATTTGCATGTTCTGATTTGTTCAGCATGTACCAGTACAAAACCATGAATTAAACTACCAGAGGCAGCCACAATGCGAGGCAGTGATGGGGTAATGTAAGAAGTATTACAAATTATCTTTGTGACTGAACATTGTGCAGGGACACTCCATATAATTCTCGAAGTGAATGCATGACCAAATGCGTTCCACATTTGAGATCCATCACATAAAAGGTAAAATTATTACAGCTGCAGGGTCTGGGAGGGGGAGCTTGTAAAACACAAATTAAGGAGAATTTGGCTCAATCAGGTAAGGTAAAGAAAGCTTTTTATTTTTCTTGGCAACTTGGGCTTTGCATCACATAGAAACTAGATTTGGCATTTTCTTAAACTGCCATACAGGAGCCTTTAGTACTACTTTAAGAGGTAGTGGCTGGCCTGCATGATATTATCACATGATTAGGTCAGAATGTTGTAGGAAGAGATAAAACTGCTAAAAAAAAAAAAAAACTATGAGCAAGCCACATAAGTGTTTTGTAACTCAGTGTACAGACATTGCACACAAACATTGTACAAAACATCTTCTAGTGTTGCCATGGTTGCAAACTACCAATATCTGAAAATTTTTGGATGCTCTAGGAAATTATAGCTGGCTACAAATGAAAATGCAGGTAATGAATTAAAATGTGGAGTACAAAACGACTTGTATAGCAAATATATGTTACACTCCAAGGAAATCATTGACACTTTCAACATATTTAAACAGGCAAACATGAGATCGTCATAGTGCCCACAGATAAAGGTAATGTACTTGAACAAATAACACATAAAACCGAAATAGTATCCTGTACCACAGTTCCTCTGGGGGGCCTACCCTGGACAGACAGGAAGCACACGAGCCACCTTCGGACGCATCCACTTATTGGTCCTACGATGGCGGTCTGTAAAGCAGATAAGACGGGCTGTAGGACAGATAGGTATCCTTCCCTGATGACCCCAGTGTTGGGACACCCAGACCTGCCCATCTCACCCTATGACAGGGAGATTGACCGAGAAATACAGTCAGGCAGATTCAGGCTTTACCATTTCCATGCCGGTTCGGATCGATTGCCTATTAAAGATATTCAAGTATGCTCGGATCCTCCCATGACCTTTTGGAAAGCACTTCAGGTGCGCCATTTTCTCACCCAATTGGTTAGAAACCCACGGGAGCTGCCTCTCCTGACCCCTTTCGAGGAAATCTGTTTGCGAGAGGGTCCTACCCGTCATGGCCTATCAGAAGCCTACAAGTTACTGAGTGACCCGCCCGATCTACCCCTCCCGGTGTATATCTCTAAGTGGGAACGTGATTTGGGAATCACCTTTACTCCGCCCCAAGTTGATAGGATATTTCAGATGACACATAAGGCCTCTATATCCAGCAGTGTCCAAGAAACGGGGTTCAAAATTCTATCCAGATGGTATAGAGTCCCGACGACCTTGCATAGAATGTTCCCACAGTGCTCACCACTCTGCTGGCGTTGCCAGGCGCAAGAAGGTACGATATTACATGTGTTCTGGTCCTGCCCTCTGCTGAGGGTTTTCTGGGATAAGGTGGCAGAGGTATGCAACACATTGACAGGGGTTGTTTTGGGGTCCGACCCAGCTGAATATCTCCTACACCGGGCACCCATGCCCTTACGCCGCCATAGGAGGTCCCTCTTGGTGCACTTACTCAGTGCGGCGAAGGCATGTATCCCCCTTTACTGGAAGCGCATGGTGGCACCACCAATCTCACTGTGGCTGGTGAGGGTTGGAGAGATCTACAGAATGGAGGATCTCCTGGCCTCAGCTAGCCACAGAGAGACACAGTTTAATCGAACCTGGTTTTACTGGATGGATTTCACTACTACCCAGGATTATGCTACCCTGTTAGGGGAGATGTAAAGACTGTCACGGAAGGCGACTGGCCTATCTGGGGGCAGAGATGTGGACATATGGGACCTCATCCGCTGGCAGTAAAGCTAGTGGATGGGAGATACGTAGGCGCGTGTCAGGAACCGCGGTGATGTGATCAGAATCCGGTAGAGACGCGGGAGAAAACGTCTGTTTCCCCTCCTATACTACTTTTCGTCTGTCTTTCTTCCTGGTCTTCTCTCTTCTTCTCCCCCTATCCTTACCTTTTCACCTCTATCCACCCCACTTACTCGTTAACATTGAACCGGATTGAACCCGACTACCCCTTTTGGATTGCCCCTGGGTACCTTGCCTTCGGACCTTTCAGGTTGCTTCCTGCCAGTGGGTTTCCTCCATGCTGCCAGCCCGCAGGCACGTCTGATAGCGCCTGACAGTTATGGTCTCTGAGGAAGGTATCTAAATGATTTTCGAATTATTCAATACTCTTTGATGATACAACTGATTGTGGAATTGAGTTCCACATTTTTACCGCTCTAACAGAAAAGAAGCCCCTACGCCCCTTGTGGTTAAAACTTTTTTTCCTCCAGTTTTAGGTGGTGACCTCTAGTCTTTGTTATGGAGTTAACAGTAAACAGTTAATTACTGATATTAGTATCATCACTAAACAAACATTTTGTACATCAAAATCATGTCCCCTCTTAATCGCCTCACTTCTAGAGTGAACAAATTTAAATTTAGCAACCTTGTCTCATAGCTTTGGTCCACCAGCCCCTCAATTCGTTTTGTTGCCCTTCTCCATACCCTCTCCAGGACACCCTTTCTGTGGATTGGTGACCAAAATTAAACCGTATACATAAGATGAGACCAAACCAGTATTTTATAAAGTGACACAATTTTTGCTTCGTCTCTACAGTACATTCCCTATTTAATACAAGACAGTACTCTGCTCACTTTGTTTGCCTGGCATTGCATACTATTGTTTAATCTGCAGTCAACTATGACCCCCAAATCTTTTTCCACTTCTGACTTCCCTAGTGGAGTTCCCATTAATGTGTATTCTGTTTGCCTGTTTTTAGCCCCAAAGTGCATTACTTGACATTTTTCGCATTAAACCTCATTTGCCACATAATTGCCCACTCTCCTATTTTATCCAGTCCTCCTGTAATGTAATAATGTCTAATCCCGAGTCTAGTACCCTCCCAATTTTAGCATCATCTACAAACACAGAAACGTGACTATTGACACCTTCCCCAATATCATTAATAAACAGGTTAAACAGTATGGGGTCTAGCACAGAACCCTGGGGCACGGCACTCTCTCACCATAGACCAATTAGAAACATAACCATTTACCAATACTCTCTGGACACGTTCCTGTAGCCAGTTCTCTATCCATGTACACACCATTTCATCTATGCCCATAGAGGTACTGGGTCAAAAGCTTTTGCAAAATTCAGTCACATCACGTCCACCTGACTTCCTCCATCCAGATCTCTACTCACCTCCTCATAGAATGTTAGAAGGTTGGTTTGACAAGAACAGTCCTTCATAAATCCATGCTGATTATAACTTATTATACCATTGCCACGAACAGTAGAACTAAGTCTGGGAACTGAAGACTAAGATTCTATAACAACACATTTCATTAATTTACTGGTTTTGCTCTTTTTGGTCAACGCTTTATTGATAATAAGCAACTGAGGGTTATACTACCACCTACACAATAAATGTATACTAGGTACATAGAAAACTGAAGGCCAGTCGCCTAAAGGCTATACACCTTCCCATCTCCCAGTTATGCTTAGTGTCCGCAGGAGAATGGATGTCTACTATCGACAAATACTAGTAGATTCAGGCCATATATTGGAAATCCTTAAAGTCTTAGTCAACAAGCACAGGCCTTCCTAGTTCATTTAGTATACTGGTGTTCTCTCTGACAAGTTCCTGCAGTTGACAGAGTCAACCTGCCTGTTCAAGTTACACAGGATACCACCATTTAGGCAGGTCAGTCCATTTAATCTGGGGATACCTTGCAGAGTTATTGGGACAAGAGCTGTGGCAGTTTGGTCTTTCCTAGTTTCTGAACACTCACTTTGTGTAATTGGCTGAAGCAAGTTTTTTTATGTATTGAGATTTTTTTTCCTTTTCATGTACTTAAGGTTTTGTCTGTTAGAGGCTGTAGCGGCTGGGTACTATTAAGGGGAGAAGATAAGAGATTCATATTTACACATTTCTTTATTTTCAGGTCATCAACAATTTCCTCACTTTGCCATAGGCAACACCCACTGTCAGTTTGTGGCCCTTCCCTTCAACCTTGCCTTGACCCCAACAGCATACACAAAGGTCCTCAGTTCTGGGTCTCCTTCATCTATGAGTTATTGCAGTCACTTGCCTGGATTATCTGCTGCTGCGAGAACAGACATCTCTGGTCTTGGACTCCAATGTGTCAACGACGATGCAGACTTTGGAGGACTTCAGATGGACCCTAAATATTGAGAATTCAACTCTGATTCCATCACATTTCTTGTACTACTTGGAACTGCCCTTGGATACCTTGGAGGCCAAAGTCTTCCTGCTATGGGAACAGTTAATAAAACTGTAAAATCAGATTTGGCAACTTCAATCCCAAAGTCAATATTCCCTATGCAGCTGCATGTGGGTTCTGGCAGGGCTCAAAATTTCCACTCGCCCCCTCGCAATTTGCGAGTGAAAATTGTGTGGGGGCGGGTGGAAATGAAGCCATTGAGTCAGGCACTCCTCGGGGCGGCTTCTCCCCTCCTCACCGACATGATGACAGCGCTCCCTCGTCCGTCCGTCCGGGGTCGCAGGAGGGAGTGCTGCCTGCTGTCAGGATGGCCGAGCGGGAGAGAAGCTGCGAGGAGAGAAGCCGCCCAGAGGAGAAGCCGCGCTCGCAG